GGAAGGGAAGGGAAGGGAAGGGAAGGGAAGGGAAGGGAAGGGAAGGGAAGGGAAGGGAAGGGAAGGGAAGGGAAGGGAAGCAATGCACAGTACTACCTTGGCAATTCTGCCTTTGTAACTCCACATTTCATATTGGTATCACATCAGTAGTTACAGATTATAGTGAAAATTTCAGAAGCCACAGACCAGAAGACCACTTTTTCTGCCCATGGCAGTAGCCTTTCAACATATTCTTATTTTATGGGGCTTCGGCTTCTCACCTAAAAAGCCACCTTCCAGATACATTTTCCCTTATAGATGCCTTATCCAGACACTTCTTCCTAGAGAGAACTTGTATTTCCCCCTCCTTATGCATCAATTCATTTGTGGTAGAAGACTTGAAAAGGTTTTAATATTTGTTCTGTTTTTACATGGTCCATAAGCACATTATTGTGACACACAGTAAGTGTTTCAGTTCCAAATGTGTACAGCCTGGGGCGAGATCATAGACACAGATGCATCTCAGAAATATACCAGAGACTGGCAACATTTACTGTGTGGTTAGCAAGAAAATTTTCTACTTACAGTAGATCCTTCCTAACTTGGTTGCAAAATTTATTAAAAGAATGGGACTTAGGAGATGGTACAAATGCTATTGTTATGATCAAAGAACATCTTTAAGCCTTAAGGTGCTTGAGGATTGCTCTGGCTCCATGAGATCTAATAAATTAGTAAGATCAGTAACATTTCCTCAAAAGGATGTAAGGAACCCTTACCAAATAACAAATGCAAATTGGTGGCATTAGACTGTATAGATCAATTGACCTATAATCTTCTCTTTTCCCTATGGAACAGGGAAAGGGAGCACCACACTGCCAATAACAGAAATATTAATCCAATGCTGAGACTGCTTTGCCATATCCACAACACACAGTTAAGGAGATAAAATGATGTAAGAATATCACTTCAGATGGAAAATAAGAGAGCTTCTCTCTGTTTCACTTCTAGCTGCCAGGCCTATTACTTCATTTCAGTGCTCAGAATGCAGTTTTCAATCCAAGGTGCAGGTGCTGCACCAAAGTGATAGTGAGGATGTCCTGTACAATGCCCAAGGGATGGAAGCATGGACAGCTAACCCTGTGCAGGTTAACTCACAAAACCAGCATGGATACACTGAACACCACTGGATACGAAAAGAAGGAAATCATGAAACCCATTGCTCTCATATCTGAAAGGAAAGTTTGAAGACATTTAATTGAAACCCTGATTTAGCCTGTAAGCATCCAGATTGTATTTGCAGAGTGCCTAACACACTAGATTTTGGAAGGTATAGAAACCAGAAAATAACACTATTTTTTCCCTAGATGTGATTTAAATAAGCATTATAGAACCACTTTAGCAATTTCATTTATTTATTTATTTACTTACTCAGCAATAATGTGCTGGGTATCTTCCTTGACTAAATTAAAATGACCTAATAAAAACATCCAAATATTTCAGATGACTCTGTGGGCCTTAAAAGAGGATTATAATGTGACCATATTATTCATATTATTTAAGCATTTTTCAGGCACAATTAAGAAAACAGTGATTGGAAAAGTATCCCAATTGGGACAGACAACATTTATATGGTGTGTGGGCTGATGGGAGATTTAAAAGTGCTGTTTGTTACGCTACAGACAGTTATGAAACAAATGATCTGGCTCTAACATAAACTGTTAAACTGAAAACATGCCAGAGGGAGACAGCTGCCAATACATTAAAAAGTAATTTTCTCAGACAACAAAGACTTAAACCAATCATTTTATAAACATATTTCTTTGTCCAACCAGATTTTGGTAATTCTAATGATTTGCCTACTGCATGGAGAAATAAAGTAAGCATTTGCTCATATGATTTGTCAGGAATTTCTGATTCGGAAGAACAGATGGTGCTAAAAAACTGAACAAGGACAACAGAATTATCAGGCTTTCAGCTACAAAATCCATTCTTTCCACATATTTTTAAAATGGGAGCAATGCATATCATAAACCTCTGACCACAGCCCATCCACAGTTTGCATTTACATGATAACCGTTTCCAGTGTTGAAGATCAAAGATTGGAGTAATTTTCCCCAGATTTCTGACAAAGATTTTGTATTATAAATTAAAGACATGGCC